CCCCCTAAAAGTCAAATACATGATGCAGTGGAGGAAGGATGCCATGCGGTCCTGACACAGAGTGAAGTTGGCAACAAGGGCACAATCGCAGGGTCAGCCGCAGCCAGGAGCAGGGACAGACTCTTCACAGTCGGTACTGAGGAGACAACACAGGCCCTGAGGCAGATGGGTGAGCCAGTTAGAGGAGATCTCTTCCCTTCGCTCCAGGGGCTCAATGAAGAAACAGGGCCTTTGAGGGAAAAGATGGGAGAGGATGAATTGGACCTATGAGGGCCTGTAAAGGAAGGGCATGGAGCAGACACACAGGGAATGTGAGGGAACAGAGCCAGGAATCTGAAGTGAGACCAGTCAATCTGGGGGTGTGCTTTCTCCAGCTGTGATGAGCCACACGGGGACAGCACAGAGGAGGCACAGCTGGATGTGATGGGGATGCCAGGGAGGGCAAGGAAGTAGAGGGTCACAGGAGAATGAGTGCACACGTCCTTTGCTTTGGGGCATCTGACTTGCACGGCTGTAAGTAAGTGACAGGGTGTGCTTGTTTCCATTATGGAAAAACAACCTGGATAAGGTGGGGGAGTGTATCCCACTGGCTTATCATTTTACCCCTGATGCAGACAAAACAAGCCTGGACTATAGTACATACTCCGTATGTAGTCAGCAAATTAATGAGAAGAACACAGAATGAAACTCGTACACCCTCCGGCATGGTCTTCACTTTGGGGGACAGATGTGTGCAGGGATCCTTTGCCCTGGAAAGAGTGAGGAAGGAGCTGACCAGGAACAGCAGAAATGGGTCTAGCCGAGGGTCCTCCATCCAGACAATGCCCCTTACCCTCAACAAGTGCAAAGGGCAAGTGTAAGCTCAACCGGGACCGCAGTGACCTCAACCAAGGGGTAGCTGCCTCAGGCTGAGCAAGACCCATTTCGGAAATTAAAGAGCCTAAAATCAGCAGAAAAAGGAGAGGCCTCCCGGCTGCCTAGACCCCTCGATGGAGAAGAGTTCTTGGTTGTTTGCAATGACGTTGGCTTAAATATTCACAGCCTCGAATGCTGACTTGATTGGGTTTGTTGAGATTGTGTAAACCAACAGTAGAAGGTAGAACAGCAGGAAGCTGGTGTCTGAACCGAACAGTAGAGGGGAAGCTGGAAGACTTGAGGGAGGAAACGTAGGCAAGGGGCAGACAAACCGCTTTGTTCCTCAAGTCTCCTACTTGTGAAAGTATCACCATTACTATTCTAGAGAAGACAGTGGAAAAATATGCATAGAACCAATGTGTGTTTGTCAGAAAGACAAGCTGCTTTCCTAAATGGGCCCTCATTAGCTTACTGCATTCTATTCTACTAATTCCTGAACACCATTAAATATTGTTGAGGGTGGAAATGAAGTTATCAGACCTCAGGTGATCTAGTTTTACTTTCTCTAGTGTTCATATTAAAGAGAATATACCTCCCTACTAAATATCCATAGAAATAATGCAAAATCCATTATTCTTTAGGTCAAAATAATCCCAATGTCATCTGGAGACTATATTTTACAAGCTTCGTTATCCATACCTGAACATTCAGAAATAGAAAACAAAGAGCTAAAATGCCTTCCAATTTTAAAATAAAAAATAAACTTTCCAGGTACTTTCAGAATGAATGTATAATGAATTTGAAATTACATTATATTTAGGTATTATTGATATGTATATGATGAAGTGAACAAGTTTATCTCAAGTGTGGAATAGAATAACAATTATATTAAAAATGCAATTTGATGAATTAAAGATCATATTTTAAAGGCAAGACAAGAAAAATACCTGCTCGATATTAAAGATCAACTTTTATTCTTCTGGTACTAGCTACATAACTCCTTAAAAGATAACATTCCTTTCTCACTCCTGTAAGGGGTCATGGTGACTCACCACCTGTGTTATACATGCAGACATCTGTAGTGAACTTTATGTACAATGTCAATCTATTATTTCCCTTAAAGATAACAATTGGTTCAAAAACTAGGCAGAAGATCAAAAGACATTTCTTCAAAGAAGACATACAAATGTCCAATCGGCACATGAAAAGATGCTCAACATCACTAATCATTAGAGAAATGCAAATCAAAACTACAATGAGGTATCACCTCACACTTGTCAGAATGGCCATCATCAAAAAGTCTACATATAATAAATGAGGGAGAGGGTGTGGAGAAAATGGAACCTTCCTACACTGTTAGTGGGAATATAAGTTGCGGCAGCCACTATGGAGAGAACAGTATGGAAGTTACTTTAAAAACTCAAAATAGAGTTACCATATGATCCTGCAATTCTGCTCCTGTGCACGTAGCTGAAGAAAACTCTAATTCAAAAAGATACATGCACCCTAATGTTCATAGCAGCACTATTTACAATAGCCAAGACATGGAAGCAACCTGAGTGTCCATCAACAGATGAATAGATTAAGAAATGGTATATATACACAATGGTATATTACTTGGCCATAAAAAAGAATGAAATAGTGCCATTTGCAGCAACATGGATAGATCTAGAGATTATCATGTTAAGTGAAGTCAGACACAGAAAGACGAATATCATATGATATCACTTATATGTGGAATCTAAAAAAATTGATATAAATGAACTTATTTACAACAGAAATAGACTCACAGACATAGAAAACAAACTTATGGTTACCACAGGGGAAAGGGGGGGGTGGGGGAATAAATTAGGAGTTTGGGATTAATATATACACACTACTATATGTAATATAGATAAACAACAAGGACCTACTGCATAGCACAGGGAAGTATATTCAGTATCTTGTAATAACCTATAATGAAAAAGAATCTGAAAAAAGTATATATTATATATATACTTTAGGATATATATAATATATAAATATTATATGTGTGAATCACATATAACACTTATAATCACATATAACATATAACACATATAATCACATATAACACTGAATCACTTTGTTGTACACCTGAAACTAACAACATTGTAAATTAACTATACTTCAATTTTTAAAAGTGGTTAAAAAAAAGAGATAACAATTGGTGCAGAACAGACTGGGTCTGACAACCTTCGGAGATAATGGGTCACACCTAGTGGAAGTTCGTAACTTAAATACTTACTTAGGACCTTATTAATGATAATAGCTATACTACTTGTATTCTGCCTATTTTACAAGATTATTGTTTCTTGTATTACCAAATGTGTGACCGAGCCTCCAATAAAAATAATAGTGACTATGTGACTTGAAACAGTTGACCAAATATAGTCCTATAAGATCAATGATTGTAATAGTGTAACTCTAGATGTGGGAAGAAGCAACAAGAGGGAACCTGGACCATAACAGACTGGTAAGATAGGCGGTCCAGAGGCTTTTGTCTACTGTTAACAGGGCTTAGTCCAGTTACAGCACATCAAGGAGCCCATCCACGAAATCCTCACCTGACCTGGGAATGAGCATTCTTAGCACCGTGGGACAAATTGGTCACGAAATGCCTCCCAAAACTTGGTTGAAATTAAGACCGAAAGGGAAGGGGTTGTAAAATGGAGAATGTTGCTCACCATCCAGTTCTACAAGAAACAAGACATTAGCCACCGCAGTCACTGAACTACAGCCACCCTGACAGGAATTCAGGGCGAAGATCAGCATGAGGCACTCTCTTCTCTGCTCCGGGAAAACTGGCAGAACTGGCCCACAGATTGATATTTTTAGGAGACAATTTTATGAACCCAGTTTCTTGCATCTTCCCATAGTTAAAAAAGCACTGGGGCTTCCCTGGTGGCGCAGTGGTTGAGAGTCCGCCTGCCGATGCAGGGGACACAGGTTCGTGCCCCGGTCCGGGAAGATCCCACATGCCGC